AATCCTTTATCTACTTGAATAATTATTCATTAGAAAAGCCATTAAATTCTGCAGCAAGAGGAAAATAATCATCAAAAGAATCTTTCCTCTCCTTGCTACTTCTAATATACTACTTTGGTATTTTTAATGCTCAAAATAACCACTTGAGTGACTTATGAAGTTCACTGATGAGCCCTGTGATTGGTAATGTGATTGCAATGAAGAATCAGTTTTATAGAAGCAATAATTTCTGAAAAAAAATCTACTAAAAATGTACAATATTTTTGATTTAAGTGAGTGACAAGAACTATATACACATATGATTATAATTAGGCAATTTGTATTCCAATTTAAGTGAACTTCAGGTGTTTGAAAAAAAAAAAAAAAACAAGTCAGGTCACCTGCTCTCAGGCACTCTGTAGCCTCCTTGAAATATTATATTCAGTTAACATAGTTTAAGGATATTCTGCATTCAGTGTCCCAGCTTCAGTGAATACTTGATATAAAAGTGTTTTGAAGCTTTGTTAAAGAAGCTTTCTTTCAGCTTTACTGAAGATAGCATATGCAAAAATAAAAACAGTATTTCTTCTATTTACCCTGTTTAAATAAACTGAAGATCTTTTTTTATTTATTTTGCCACGTAATTCCTAGTGATAAGCATTTATAGACAATTGATATAGCTGATGTGTGCATCTCTAAGTGTGGAGAAAACAACTACAGAGTTAAAAATTTTATTTCTATCCTTTAATCGAACTCCCATTTGCAGCAAGAGTTTTTTTCCCATGAATTTAGGGTTTCTGCTCTTTCCAAAGAGCAGAATTCCACTGTAATGCATTATAAACTCCTTTTGTTCCTGCCTTTGGCGCCAAATAAATTGTGATAAGATTGTCATAGACCTACCAGTTTATTTCTAAAATGTTGGTCTCTGAGTAACAATAAATATAGACTAATCAAGATGGAGATTTTTAATTATCTTTTCATCCTTCAGTAGACTAAGCAAATATATCCGTACTAAACTTGATCATTATCCTGAAATATTTATGGAGCACACATGACTGAATATTGAAATCGGGCCAAATATTGAAGTAATTGGTGGATAATCCTGTATTTTCTGGTTTGTGAAAGCTTCTCTAGAGACTATAAATTCTGTTTAGTTTATTTAATCACTGCGCAGTTGTCTTTTGGGAACCTAGTAATTTCTAAGTTATATCTTGTGAATATATGCAAACATTCATACCACATGGAAATACCCAGACTGAGAATTGCATAAACTAAGCAAGTGAGGTGAACTTTTTGTATTTCTGGTTTACACATAGAATTAAATCAATTTAGATGCAAATGGATGTACTGAGATAAAGAAAAAAAAAAAAGAGCTCCTAAAATGTTTCGGAGCTTTTTAATTCTTATATGCAAGTGTAACTTTACACAGTTTTATTTTACACAGATATCTTTTAAACTGTTTTGTGTACAATTTCCACTGCCACGAGTGATTAAATGTTTGAAAGGCCTTTGAAAACCTGATCCCTGTGTTGGACCTTGCTGTGGTTACGTTTGCTGGAGTTAATGTATTCGTACGACTCCTCATCTGCCTTTGTGCCTTGGCCGTCTCCGTCAGCCAGGAGCAATGACTGGCAGAGCTGTCGGTCTCTAGCTGAAGATGCGATGCTCTGAATTTAACAATTTAGGTGTGGATTAAGGAGGATAGTGATCAAATCTGAGTATTTCATACTTGTGTAAAGTTTATCTGGGAGTCCTCAAGCACTGTTTTTTTTTCTTTTTTTTTTCTCTTTGTACAAATCATAAAACCAGCATAAGCTTGGGGATTTGTCTTGTCAAAGCCCCTGCGTTTAGGGAGTTTTTCAGGCCCCAATCAGGAGATGAACAGTGATGCCTGCTGCAGTGTTCTTGCTGTGTCCTTTCTTTCTCTCCATATCTATATCTTCCTAAAAAACAGGAGAGCATTTTAGAACATCTTTGAAGAGACATTGCAGGTCAGATAGCAAACGTTTAATTTACCAAGAGTGTACTGAACTAGTTGTTCCTGTCATCAGGAGAAACCATTTATTCTTGGTTTTGCACATAGCCAGATATGTGCAGAAACTTTCTTCCTTTCAGCACATCAGAGCCTGGCACTGAAAAGTTCTATTTCAGAATATAAGTGCTTATTTTCAAGCAGCAAGGAGGCTGCCACCTAGGGAGCTGCAGGAGATGACTTTAAAGATAAAGGTCCTTGTCTTATATCTGAGATAACTTTAATAGAGCAGCATTTAAAAGGCATTTAGCACTGCGTAAAAGTCCTTAGCATTACTTGAGACTGTTTCTCTAAAGATAGATATTCTGAAGTTGCCATTACAACTGGAATAAGAACACCAGCAGCACATCCTTCTTGTTAGTTACTAAACAGAAAAAGAACTGTATTTCAGAAAATGTAAGTCATTTCAATAGGTCAAGGTGAAAAAGTGAGATTTATGATATTTTATTTCGAAAAAAAAGATGCTTATGTTCATGCAAATGAATATTTTGCGTTCTACTAATTCCACTAATTTATCCTTCTCCTAACACACTTGGGGCTTTTCCTGTTCATCAGTGATCTGTCCATATTTTCATGAGCTTTTAAAGGTGATAGAGATTGGCCTTACAAAAACATTGATCAGTGCTTTCAGCTGCTTTGGATGTAGCTTGTTGGATCCCATGGAATTCTATAGGTGGAATGCTCTCAAGAATTTTTCAAAGAATCAACTGTTTCCACAGAACTATACCCATCAGTTAACACACATTTCTAGAGCTCCATAAATGTTCCTTCCATTGAGGATTGGTTGACATTTTCTACTTTACGATGGCTCTAAATACGATGCCTCAAGCCATTCAGGTCAGTGCAACATTTGTTTAGATAGAGTTCCCTTCAGTTGCCTTGTTTCCTAGATGAAATTTTACTGGAATTTGATAATAAGAAAATCATCTGTGGTAATGGTCCTGGCAGCTGATGATTGTGATGGAAGAACAATTTTTAGCTACAACTAATTCTCTGATTAACTTTTATATACAGTGCAGTTGATAGTAGCAGCAGATGACTCTGTCCATCGCCTTCACTATTTATAATTTCATTCATAGTTATTTCTAAATTGTATAAGAAAATTAATGCCTGCTTTGTGTTGGTGCTCACTATTAAAAATATATTGTTTAGAATCAAATGTCATATTATAAAACCAGAAGTGTCATTAAGTATCACTAAAAATATAACAAATACACATTAAGTTAACATGCTAATCATATTCTAAACATCACATTATTTTAGAAATTCATCATTCATGTTCCCTAAGCATAGAAATGACAAAAATTGATTTCAAGCTAACTGAAAAATTACAATTTATATTATACTTTGTAATAAAACAAAGCCAGTGATACGAAATAATGGTTACAAAAGAAACTATTTTACCTGCAAGTCAGAGATGTAGGCACATTTTTTGTTATGTGATTAGGAATATGTGACTTTATCTTAATTAGGCCTGAGAAAACTTGAAATGTTTTAAACATGAATGATATCTATTCTAGTTAGAATATGTATGTGACTTCTGTTTTTTGTTGTTGTAATTAATAAATTTAGTTTAATTTATAAATTATGAGTGTACTTGAGCATCATGATCTTTTGCTGATAATTTTTAAAGAATATTTTAAGGTGTGCAAAGAGCACTAAAGTATATTCTATTTAGGAATTCATATGTAGACAAAATATAATGATAGTGCATTAGATTTGTATGTGAGAGATCAATTTTGCCATTTTTAGGCCTTTCCGTTACCACATCCAAAAGGCTGACATAGTCTGCTGTCAAAGAGCACTCAGATGTGTTCTTCTTCCTGCTGGGTATCTAGGCCTCTTTGTAACTTGGAGATGGCTATGACAGATTTTGTAGCTCTAGAGGTTGTGTAAGGCCGTAGTGCTGGCAAGCTGGAGTTTTGGTGAGCAGGTTGGTGTTATCAAATGGCTTCATGTAGCCCCATCAGCACTGTTGAGCTCTCTCATTGGATCTTGAACACGCACATGGCTGAGAGAAGTGTTGCTTGCATAGAGAAGTAATGGAGCCTTTGGGCTCTGATATTTGTTTGTGCCAGCACACTCTTGGGTACAAGTACCTGCTTCCTGGAAAGTTTTACTCCATTATGCTCCAGTGATAGTTTATGTTACAGCTGATGGCTCTGTCAAGTAACAGAGAGAAATGTGTGTGGAACTGGAGATAGTTCATAGTTACCTATTTTAATTTCTCCTCCTGTGTACATGCAGAGTAAGATTAAAGAAAAACATGGAGTTATGTATCTCAAAATAAGACATGGCCAAGACTGCTTTCTTTAAACTTGGGATATTTTAAAAATTACTTTTTTTTTTTTTTTGTGTGTGTGTGACTACTCAAGTCATATTCTGGTATTTACTGCATTTGCTCCATTTCCTGGCACTGAGTATGTTTTGTCTTTTCAAGGAAAATCAGCATAATAGCTTGTAAATGGTAAAAGTGGGGTGCTTTAGTTTCCTATATCTTACCTTTGGTGGGTGCTGATTCCTTCCATGAGCTGATTCAGCTCACTTAAGTTGTTGGAAAACTTAGCCAGTCAAAAGCACACCGAGTTTTCTGTCAGGTTAGTGATTTTTCATCAGCTCATGAAACATCTGGCAAAAGTTAGAGGGAGAAGGACTGGACAATTTGGGGTAAGAGGATAAGGGAACAAACCTTCCTCTGTCTTGTGTCACTACAGCGTTACTTTGGTTCAGCTGTTGATGAAATCTCAGTATCAACTTACAGAGTTGAAACATCAACTGCTCTGAGCCTGATTCGGACTTAAACTTGGCCTGAAAGACAGACCTTATATCAACTTAAATGAATAATGAAGCAATGGCTCTTGGTACAGCTGTTTACTTTTTAAAATTCTTCTTCTTCTTCTTTTTTTTTTTTTTTTTTTTTTGTCTCTCTCTCTAACATACGTTAGAGCAATAATCTTTGGTATCTTTGTTCTCTGTCTCTTTTCTCCAGTCGAGGCCTACTGCCCTGCAGGACATTTTGTGAGGCAGCAAAAGAAGGCTGTGAGCCAGTCTTGGGGATGGTAAATGCTTCCTGGCCAGAATTCCTCAAGTGCTCCCAATTCCAAAACAAAACGGAAAATGACACCGCCACAAGGGTATGCTTCTCACCACACCAAGAGAAAGGAAAACAAAGTACGTTTCCATTTTTAACTGTTAACTATTGTTCAGGGGTTACTATTTAATAATATGTTTGTCTCGTTCTATAGGACAAACTCTGGGATGAAATTGAGGAGTTCTGGTTCTGTTATTAAGTAACTTCTGATTACCATGATAAAGTTAAAGCCTGATTGTCATGAATTTTTCTAAGACTTGTATTGCGTTGAGACTGTCTTTTGTTTTGCATCAGAAAATCCCATCTGTTTCAGAGAAAGAAGCTAGGCATAGAAAATGCCCTTTAAAAGAAGCTCTGGTGACTTTTTCCTTTGCTAAACTAGGGATCACAAGATTATTGCTTTGGAACCCAAACTTGATACACAGGCCAAATTTCCAATGCATCTCTTTGGTCCTTGCTGTAAAAATGAACCCAAAGCCGATCAAATTGTAAACTTGTCAAAAATCCAAGTTCTGACACCCCCACCAGTGTGTGCTGCTGAGAGTGCTGTGAGGGAAAGTCTCCAGAAACCTCTTTAAACATAGACTGCTTCCATCTTCTCAGAGTCACTGCTGTGTTCTGTGGATCTAAATCTAGGTGAGATCAGACCTCAAAGCAGCAAGCCTGTTTTTTTCTTTTTTCTTTTTTTTTTTTTTTCTCCTTGGCAGCCCTATTGCTGGATTTCTCTTGCTTTATCTATTGCTAGTCCAAAGGATGATCCTTTGCTGCTGATACACAGCATCCTTTGAGCCTAAGGACTTGTACAGTCAGTCTGTAGATTCTGTTAATGACTTTTGGGTGATAATAAAAAAAGAAGAGATGATATACTGAAAATTAAAACAAACGAACAAACTGGCAAGTTATACAGACAGAGTGACCTTAAAATATTTATGAGGTTGTAAGGTGGGTCTTCAGAAGTTAGGTAATACCACAGTTAAGAGTGTTTGTACATCCTTGGTTATCTCCTTTCTGAATATGTATAATACTATAGCCTTTAAATACTTTTTTTTTTTTTTTTGAGTGGGGTTCCCTTCGTCTGTAAGGGCGTGTGTTGTGGAATCATAAAATGAAGGAGGGTGTCGTTCCTACCTACCTCACCTTTGGGAAAATTAGTAATGGCTGTGGCAGGGAAATACAGAACGAAGCATGAAGGATTGTGTCTTGGGGAAGACGGTTGACTGCCTTCCAGGAAAACTGAATGCTATCCATAAGACTCCTGCAGAGTTCTTAAGGGATTCTGGGCCAGTTGCTGTAATGAAAGCCACTGGGAACTGTGTTTTGGCTACGTGAGATAAATATGTGCTACATGTTCTGAAAAATTAGGTCTTAAGGACCTCTGCAAACGGAAACCATAGTAGATTAAAAATGCCTAATTTCTTCTTGTCTCAATTTCCCATGTGTAAAATGGGAATAAAAGCATCCTTTTACCTCACAGCGATATTTTAAAGCTAAATGCTTTGCTGCCTTTGATTTTGTAGTGATGAAAACCCTAGATATTAGGAATATAGTAATAGCTAGCAAAATAACAAATGAAGTAAGAGTTTATATGATCAATGCATAAATATGGTAAAGGATTTATAGTGAGCAGTGAGCGTAAAACAAAGGAGTGACCAACGTATCCTCAACTGAGCACGTTCATGCTTGGCACAGAATGAACTACAGTTCTGAAGGAAGCACAGAACATTAGATACCTGGGCCTCATTCATGTATGGTACACATGCTGAGCAGCAGGTAAGGTATAAATATACCTATTAACGTTTGGCAGATGATAGTTGGCTGAAGTGTTCAAAATCACCACTAAATCTTAATGGTCGATTTGCAATTCATGCAGCAATTTGCATGAATTATAGAAAAGTATACAGTGGAAATTTACTGTTTCTCACTAGGGGAAAATATCTTGAACTGGTTTTGAGATTAACTACTCCTACCTGAGAGATTGCAGAGGCCTATGCCACTTTGGCAGTTCTAACATTTTGTTGTTTAAAACAAATGTCATCTTAAATTAATTTGTTTACGTGCACTATTGTTCATGATACTGAATATGAACAGATTATGTGTTAAGGAAATGATAGACTATAGGGAATGTTTTGACTTCTTTTGCTTAAAGGAATAGTTTTAATGCTATACCTTTTTGACTGCAAAAAAAAGTCAAGGATCCCCAGGTTATTTTTCATACAGAAAGAAGTTTATGTTGGAGTTGGATTTTTTTTTCAATTTGTATATTTAAAATTATTTATCTGAATGCAGCAGAATTAAAACAGCAGGACTTGGTTTGTTGTTCTCATCCCTTCCTGCCTAATGCTCAGTCAAAGCATTTTTCAAGGCTCTCTTGGGGCTAAATTCCTGGAAATTCCCAGGGTGTGCCCTTGGCAATGTATGCTACTTATGTCTCAGCTCTGCAATTTTCCTTGGGGACTAATACCTCCAGGCTGCATGCAGTGAAACCCTCCTTACCTACATATGTCTTGCAAATACCTTGTTTTCGTGTGAGGATGAATTTCTTCTGTGGGGATTTAGTTGATCCATGTATTTATTATCCTTATAATAACAAGGTGTGGCTGATGTACCTGCTTGTTTCAGTGAAGTATAATTAAGTCCAAAACAATTTTTCCCATGATGTTTTTCATCTTACTGTGCATTTATTTAATTGAAAATTACCTTTCCTCCAAAAAGACTTTGAATGATACATGAGTTTCCAAGCTTTGACTGATTTTCTAGTTAGAATTCAGAGCATTTATTTCAGGGACAATTATCAGCTTTCCTGATGTGTGTTTATTAGTTAGGAACTGCTGATATTGCTGTTCACTGCTCATATTCCTGTTCACTAAGAAGTGGAAGGAAAAATGTCGCTGAAAATGAAATAACATAGCACTGTTTCCTGTATTATTAAGCTCATAAAAATTATTCTGGCAAATACCTTTCTGAGTCTTTATTCTTTTGTCTCTACAGTGGATATCCAATAGTTGAAAAAATTAACTACTATGAACATGCAAGCTTTAGGAATCCAGTTGTTGATGCTTGAAAATAAATATTTGAACTAGTTTCGCAGATGAGCAGTGAGCAAGTAAGGGAGTAAGGGGCAAGTGCTCTCACTGATTCATTCATACATTCCACATGAATCCAATAATTGTGTTTTTGTGGAAGAAAGTCTCAGAAGCATTCCTGGGGACTGCTGGGCATCTCCCCACTCACAGAAATATCTCAGCTTTGTTTTTCTTTCTTTTAACTGTCTCTGTGAATCTCTGTTATTCTACTTGCTTTGACCAGCCTACAGCTGATGTTATTAAACAGTGGGGAAAAAAATAACAGTACTGTGAATGAGAAGTGAAGCAACACGGTGAGCTGGCTTACATTGAAGTGGAGTTCTTAGGAAAGCACTGCAATCATTTTTTAATAAATCTGGACCCTAAAACGCTTTCAAAAATAGTAGTGAATATTGATGCTTTTGCACTTTTCACAATGAAATCTATGTAAGAGACAGTTCAGAACTGACAGACAATGTTCACTTTTTCATTTTACTGAAGTGGCTGTAAAATTTTAAGTAACGCCTGTAACTCTTTTATCTGCAATGTAGGAAAAAAATTGGTGAACTTTTAACCCACTGGTTATTGCAGCAGTTTTTTGACTGGTACAATCTTTTAATTAAATTTTTCTGGTTAGATAAAGTTACAGTGATTGCTGAGTGGGAGAATGGGTACTGATGCTCTGGATAATCTGCCTCTTTGTCAAAAACACAGAAATTAATTATTATACATGTTGATTTATGCCCTGCAATGTTCAGGGGAGTGAAAGAGCTAAATGCATGAATAATTGGAGTGAACTCTTTAATCCATTTGAAGGTGACACCACAGGAGCTCTTAGCCCATTTTAATCTGTACAAGGTGCAGATTAAAGGTGCTCTGCATTAGCAAGTCTAACAAAGGTCACATTTTTTTATGCATGCCACTTTATGGTACTGTAAAAACAAATAGTTGATAGAAGCCTTAATGCTACAACTATAAACCTCAGCATTAGAATTTGTTTCTCTGATATAACATCATCCCTTTACTCAGATTTAGCTTCAAGTTTTGCACTAATTCAACTCATTCATTCAAATTATCTTCTAGTGGCTCTTCTTGTATATTGCCTTGTCCTATGTAAGCTGCCCTAGAGCAAATAATACAGAAAAGATTCAAGAGAATGAATACAATGCGTACCAGAAAAGGACTATTTTTCCTAACAAAACATATGGTGAACCAATACGATGCCTTTGTTTATTCCTTGCATTAAACATGGGTAGAAATTACTCTGGCACTTCCTCCCGTGGTGTCAGATTTATCTTCCAGGGCAGCGGTATGAATTTAGAAAACAGAAACACAGAGGCAGTATCTCTTTTTCAGTGGATATTGAGAGGCTAGTTATATACATCCAATACAGAACTTAATTAGAAAAATCTTTTAAAATCAGGAAAATACTGTCTTTTTTTGTTCCTTTGTGTTCATTAAATGCAGTGAAAAGAAGACAGAGGTGTTATGTATATACGAAATACTGATACTATTCAGTTGTAAAAATAGTGGTAGAAAAATGCTTTTTTGAGAGAGATTAAATATTTTTCAGGCTTGTGGTGTGTCATGCAAGGAAACATTCACTGTTAAGGGAACTGTTTCCCTTGAGCATTTATTCATTACTTCCAGTAAATACTATGTTTAATTTTGTCCTTTGATTTCTTTTTTGCTCCTTCGCTGCTCCCTCAGCATTTCTCTCTGCCTCTTCCTACTCATTGCCTGTTTATTTTCCAACTTGGAGTCTCCCATGTGCCTTTTTACATTACTTTAAATGAATGGAAGCGAGAGGACTTTGTGTTCTTCTCCCACAGGGTTTTGCATCCTAAGGAAACCGAGAAATGGACAGTGTCTTGGGAGGCAGCTTCTGTAAATCTGTGGTCATGATCCTATTGCTGAATTTTTCTATAGCTGACAGTTACAAGATGCATATACCATACCCCAGGGTACGTAGGATATAGGGAGCAGGTGATGAAAATCTGTGGGCAAGAGAATACAGG